GTTTCCAACAAAATAGGGTGGAAGATGAAAGATATTGGTATTTAAAAGGACACATTCAGTTTTCTGGATAACTGGAAAACTATCAGATAAATGTGGTATCCCAATATATATGCCAGGAATCTCAATAAACCATTCACCAAGGAAGTAAGTAGTTTAGGTACAAATGTAATGAATAAAGAAAATATCATGACCCAGCATGTGAAAATGTTCTAGAAAGGAAAACATTAAATATAGAGACAGTGTTGTCTCTCTGCAGACAATTCTATTATCTGTTGCCATGGAGGACAAGAAGAGAACAAATAAATACAATTCACAGGAATCCAAATGACTCAATTTTCATCACTAATTCTAGAAACTGTATTAAAACCTTTCTCGGAGCTTCTCCTAAGTGTTTAACTGATTTCTGTTTCCTCTCCTCTCCCCTTTGCCCAATGCCTACCTTCTGGTGTATGTGCTAATGAGCAGTGAAAATGCTAAAAGGTAGGCAGCAGGAAGGAGCAGTACAGGGCATGAACAATTTGTAGTCTGAATAATCAGCCTCTGCATAATTAAAAGTTGACTTGCATTCCCAACTACTGATAACTGGCAATCTATATTAGAACAGTTGCTAAAATTTTCCCAGAAAAAATTATCACAATACAGTGAGTAATGTCAGCTTTGTAAATTATTTATAGATTGTCCTCTAACTGAAGCAGGCTCAGGAACTAAGTGGGGTATTTATGCCAGAGTTGAATCTCTCTCTAATTATTTCTAAAAAAATTAAGTATTGGGCGGCACCTGTAGCTCAGTGGGTAGGTCGCCGGCCACATACACCGAGGCTGGTGGGTTCAAATCAGGCCCAGGCCAGCTAAACAACAAAAACTGAAACAAACAAACAAAAAAATAAATGGGCGTTGTAGTGGGTGCCTGTAATCCTAGCTACTTGGGAGGCTGAGGCAAGAGAATTGCTTAAGCCTAGGAGTTTGAGGTTACTGTGAGCTGTGATACCACAGCACTCTACCAAGGCTGACATAGTTAGACTCTGTCTCAAAAAAAAAAAAAATTAAATATTGATTTAAAAAAAAATCACTTGCTATTTTGCTCATCTACTGGTAGAGATAATAGAAAGTGAGAATATGTATGTACCATATCAATGAAATTGAATATATTGACATTTTGTATTTAAAAAAAAAAAGAGGGAGCAATTCTTTACCAAAAGCACACCTCAGTAATATCCCTACTACATTTAAAATGAGATTTAAGGAAAGAAAATAAGGATTAATTCACAATACTTCCAGAATATACTTACTTTGGTATATATTCCGCAAAATGAGACATTTGTATGTGTGTGAAGTAATCAAGGACACAAACTGAAGTTAGATTCCTTGGTTGTTGAAGAGTAAAAGCAAAGGGCAGTACGCTGATGTGAAGCAACACAGAATCTTATTAAGCCTTGATAGAACATGAATCCAGAGAGAGATGAATGTGCCTTTGTCACGAAGATGGAACCACACATATCAAGGTCTCGAATATCATCTGCAGCCAATTCCGTCCCTTGAGAGAAGTACTCACAAGTACCAGTGAGAGGTATCTGAGGAACTTTTGATTAAATAGGATTTATGCAAAGATAATAACACAAATTTTTATAGGTTTTTGTCAAAGTTTATCCTAGTTAACACTTTAATACTTCTTCTGTGGTACTAATGAAACAGCTGCTAATGAAATTCAATGAGAACACTAAATTGAGAGGTGTTGGAACCCCAAAGAAATAATAAAAAGGGATATAACAAGATTAGAAATATGAGCAGACTAAACCAAAATTAGATTG